CCGCTCCTCTACACCATAGGATTAGGTCGTACACGCTCTAGCTGTTTACACTTTTCAAGGGCTGCGCCTGTCGGGGAGGAGGTGGAGGGGCTACATCGTCCCTTTTTTCATTATGAGAGTGAGTATCTTTTCCTTTCAGCTATCTAACTGATCCAAGACCACATCGCGTTTTTAATAGTGACGCACTTACGCATGTATTTCCGTTGATCTGTTCGGTGCTTGGAGTTCAAGAGTCTATCCAAGGTGAATGATGATTGAAAAAATATAGGCTTTTCTTCTTATTATATTACGATTGTTACAGGAGTTCCTGTATGTGCCAACGTTCCAGCGCTAATGATGAAATATGGGGTTCTCCTCACTCAGGTTGTTCGTTTCGCTGGTCACGTATCCGCTTGTGGTAAGCATGTTTTTCCCCAGATTCTTCCCTATTTAAGAACGCTATGGTCTATGGAAGGAAGGCAGGCGCGGTTCGGCTTGAGAGTGAGAATGAGGGGGGGAGTGTCATTCTGCACTCTGCCTACTTGCCATCTTCGTTTCGAGCTACTAAGTAGAGATCTGCGAACTCTTGTGAAGTCATGTAGTGATACCAATCAAAGCTTGTAGAGACTAATTGTCAACTCTTATGAAGACCACCTATCGATTCTTGCCAAACAAAGAACACAAGTGTAAAATGCCCCCACCCCGCGGCATTATCTCTTCTCCCCACCCTCCCCAAGCCGAACTGCACCGAAAGGCTTGTGTCTTAGTGCTAAATACTTTCAATATTGGCAGTCTGTAGACAAGATTTGGGCGCTCGTCTTCATAGGGCCTTCTCTACTTGCATCCCCATTCCTCTTGGCTGGATGCGCACCAGCTCGGAAACGCGTCACTTACGAATGAGTTTCATTTTCCGCGAGTAATAGCATCTTATTTGGCGTGGAGAATTTCCATGATGATGTGGGCAAGATGCATATACAGGGGGGGGCAAAAAAAAGACATTTCGACCGAGTCACATATCAGCAAAGTTTTCGCAGCCCAGACAGAGAACGTGGATACGAGTACCAGGGCGGAAGATACCCTAGATGTTCCTCTATAAGCTGGAGCAGGCTGCCGCCAATCGCCTTCATGTACGCCAAAATATGAAGTCATCT